CAACAGAGCTCCCATAATGGCAGCATCATTCTCATAGACCACGCATAGTTTATGGTAAATTATGAGCGGTTGCCCATGACTCCATATCGTCGAGCTCCCATCAAAGCATCAACGCATGTTCCGCCCACTCCACTACAAAAAAATTGAAAGTTAATTGGACGATGCAGCGGTGAGATTCTCTTCAGAAGGAACAATATCCATTCTTCTTTGCGCGAGGAAGAAGAATGGATATTGTTCCTTCTGAAGAGAATCTCGCCACTGCATCATTTAATCCCAAAGCAAGGTAGATGGCAAACATCGTACTTCATATGGCAAATGAGGTGATCATTCCAAACGCGGTGGGATCGTGGTGTGTCGTGCCTTCAACAGATCCAGATCTCATCGCTACAATGAGCAACGAAGAAGGCTTCGTTTTGCTATATTTTATGCAAGAGGGTGTCAAAGTTACTGCAATGTCGTCAGCTGTGGTTTTTTTTTGATGTCAACACTTTAGCACGTCTTAATGTAAGAAGAGCTTTTAAAAACTTAAATCTTAAAAAGATTTTGATTCCGTTCTAACGGGCTACTACTCCGACACAACATCAGCTGCTTCTCCGAATGGGAGAAACAAAAGAGCACGAAATAGGCAAATGACATGCTGTGGAAAGATTTGCATTCCTAGGTGTATTTGAATACAACGAAGATTTTGACACTGGATATTGACTGTGTATCACCAGGAGCTAATTAATTCAACAGTTGTCCCGAATATATTGAATGGACGAGCGATGAAGTAGATCCACAAGAACGCCCATGATTTATGCGTCAATTTCTGCTTTAGAACAATACTGCAACAGTCCTAACCTGCAGTCGGAGAAGTTGCACGGAGATGTTTGGAATAGACCTCAATCATAGGAGCTAGAAGCAAAGTCTTTCATTCTATTTAGAGATTCCTGCCAACTCCAACACCCTACAAATTGCAAATCAAGTAGTGGAGGTACGTGCTTATACTTTGTATTTTTGGTTTGATCATAGGCGATTAGAATATTTTTATTTCCTTCCAAACCTCCGATGTACTTCGCAGTTCGACTCTGTGTGTGCCATGCCAAAAACCCCCATCCTCTGGCTAATTTAATAGGTGGTTCCCTGATCCATATAGGTCAGCGATTGCTTGTGGTGAAAGCTTATCAAGCCCTGACAATACTGCTTACGGGGGAAAATTCTATCGCTTGTACAGTATGTAAAAGGAAACGAAGCCCTGCACTGAATCACATCTTCGGCGTCGGATGTCATCAAGACCAGTGTCTGTTTACATAGGACGCCATGGATGTTGAAGCGAAGGAACACGCCAACAACTCGCAATGGAGATTGTTTTATGCTCTGCACCCACGACGCTAAGACAGTCTCCAATGCCGACCTTCACGCCCTTCTTGAAGCTGCAGTGCGCATTGACTACCACGTGTCTTGCAGGGAACAAAGTCCAGGACAGGAGGCAGCTGCACTCATCATTCGTGGTGAGAACGTCACGGAACGTTGGAGACGTTAAATCTGTCGTACACTAGTCCATCTTGTCAACTCGAACAAGATCTTATTTGGACTGGCTATCCTTGAACTCCGTCCTCTGCATCAGAAAACAATCTCCATCACCAACTGCTATTCTCCAACATCCGCAGCTAATGACGACTAGATGCTTTTTATGAGGATTTGGAGAAAGTCATCCACGAAGAAAATTCGTACTAAATATTTGTCTTGGCTAACTTCACTGCGAAAATTGGGATACTAGAGGGGAGGATAGGAGCGGAGATTCGGATAGGATTTCGGAATGAAGGTAATGATCTTGTTGGGCTCTTATCCGCCGCACGACTTTTTCATGGTAATTCCATCTTCATGAAGAAAACTGCGGCGGTGGATTTGAGAATCGCTTGACAGTACGACATATGCGGGAATCGGCCATATTCTTATCAACCGAAGGTAGTGCTTAGTGGACGTGTCAGTGATACCACAGCAGTGGTTCGGATCACCCCTCCTTCGAGCAAAAGTGCGATTCAGTCGAAAGCTGAAAAAGAAGATCTGTCCCGTGTTGGAGGAAGGAAAGAAGTCGTATATGACGGTGTCAGAAGGGAGGAGCTTCTGTTGTGACTGGCCTATCGAGAAGGACCCAAAGAAGGACTACGACCTGCTTTTCGGAGGATTGAGGACCTGTGGTAAAAGTGCCTCAATGCCTCAAACAAGAAGCTGGGAACGAATTGCGAAAGCCA